ATATGGGTCAAATGGGGCAAAAAAATCAGATTTGTCGCATTCAGACTGTCATAAAAAATCGGATATGGGTCAAATGGGGCAAAAAAATCAGATTTGGGTCACATTTGCCTGCAGTGTGAACGTAGCCTTAAGCTGGAAACATACTCGCTCCAACGCACGGTCACATGGTTGTTCGGCAGTCGTTTTCACACACACCTTTCGTAGTCCCTGAGACGCCCGGCACCGAGCTCGGGAAACCCCCCTCCCGCTGAAACATATGTCACTGCATGGAGTTCTCCCTGCAACAGCCGACAATGCAGAAAAAAAAAAGTCAGGCTCGTCACTCACCCGACGTATTTGTCCWCATCTGTTCTGGTTTAGCTCCACAGTTTTTCACGGTTTGACTATCTTAATAAAACTCTGCTTCAACAGTCGGCTCTACAAGCGAGTTTTCTTTTGAGTGTCKGAGCGCTTTCAGTTTCAGCACAAACAAACACGCCCACAAACTTCAGACCAATCACACATTACCYTCGACACAGGAGGGGGGTCAAAAGTTCTGCCGGCGGGTTGTGCCAAAAGGAGCTGTCAAAACGACACTGCGAAGCCCGGTGATGTAATTTTCGGCATAAACAAACACGCCCACGAACTTCAGACCAATCACACATTACCATCGACACAGGAGGGGGGTTAAAAGTTCTGCCGGCGGGTTGTGCCAAAAGGAGCTGTCAAAACGACACTGCGAAGCCCGGTGATGTAATTTTCGTCATTAAACTGCAACAACCCGTGCCGACGTCGGCAGTTCGCAGGGAGTATGTTTTCACCTTTAGTCCTGGTTTATCTCTGTTCTTATTAGTCGAATATCAGACATCAGTGAAAAAAATATTTGCTTTCAGGTCTTCTCATTCACCATCTGTCTCAGATCAGTCTGACCCTCCTGAATGCTCTGTTGTTTAGGAGAAGCTTGACCCTCCTATGTTTTTAGGGCAATTCTCCACATCGTTGGACCTTGTATTTTATACTTTTTTGGATCAGACAAACCTTCTGAATTCGACTCCACCAGTCCTTTCCTCCAGCTCCTTTCTTCCCTCCACCTGGTCTTCCTCCTCCTCCTCCTCCTTCTTTTCCATCTGAAATACAGACAGGACTGACTGCAGATCTGAGCATCCATTCAACAAACTGATTCTTATCCCAACAACACCACCACCACCACCACCTACTACTACTACTACTACTACTACTACTACTACTTTTATTTATAAAGTACTTATAAATAAAAGGATAGTAAATGTAGTTGCACTTTGTTGCAACTACAGCAACATATTGTAATACAAGTAAAACAAAATAATATTTAAGTAAACAAAGAATAAATACAACAATATGGTGACAGTCAACAGTCAGACTGACATACAGATTAAATCCTGGACAACAGATATAAATCTGAATGGAAAAACTTAAAATTAGTTTTTGAATGGTCTTTAGCTTCAGTGCTGCAAACCGCTACCATTACTTCTTTGCATGTATCTGCTCTGATACTACACAATATTGTTCTGTCATGTTTAGTGGTTTGTCATCCCAGTAAAAATTTAAGCTACAGGTTTTTCAAACTAAGATTATCTGCTAAATGACCCCTCTAGGGCTCATGTTGAAAAAGAAGGATAAGAACAGTAAATCAAAAGTAAACCATTTGTTCAGGATCAGTAATGAGACTGGATCAGTTTATCTGAGCGTTTCAGTTCAGATGGTGCACTTCAACATCAGAAAAATACTAAAGCTAATATCCTCTACAGCAAATACTATAGCTGCTAGGAGCTCCTCTTCATCAGAAGATGAAGTTAGCTGACTTTTTTAAAAATGTAGTGGCCAGATAGGGGTCATCTCTGTTAAGGGTAGTAGATTAATTGGTACGTTATTCGCAAATACTCTTACTTACACCCCCCAGTGTTTAAGCACGCACGCTTTTACATGTTATTCCTTTGGCTGTACTGTTGATGGTACTTTGTACCTGAAATAAAATAAAGCAGTCAGAACACAAACTGTCTTGAGACATACTGAAGGACCAGTGTTTATGTTCTCAGTGAAAAATCTAGGAGGACATTAGTGCTGATCTGAATAATGTCTGAATGAATGCCTAAAATAATCATCCAAGTCATTTTTTCAAGAAACACAAAAAACCTGTACCTTATGATGTTTTCTTAGTTTCCTGACAATCTTGGAAAAACAAAAAGACTTGGTGGTTATTTTAGGAAGATGTTGATGTGTATTTCTTCCCGAACAAACTTAATTTTCTGTGTGAAAATTACTTAAATGTCTAATTGGATGATGAGGGTTGTTCTGCACAAATGGAAGATAAATAAAAACTAGAGAGACAACAGCGCTTACCTTTTGGGTCAGTGGAGAAAAATCGCTGCTGAACTGACAGTCTGTGACATGAGAGGGAGTTCAGTGGCGGTCGACTGAAGAGCCAGCAGCTCTGAGAGGAAACAACAAAAACAGAACAAAAAAATTAACCAGTAAAGAAAAAAGAAGAAAAGTTATCACCAAAAGTAGTGACACAATCATCTTTTTTAACAATCACAGTCATACTGTTTCAAGACTTTACACTGTCACAAAGATGATCAATCCATGTATGAATGTGATGTTTCCTGAATCCCTTCATCATAAACTGAGTCTGATTACTCATGACACTTTAAGCTAAGCTCCTAACCCATCGTATGCATTTTTGACACAAAGAAGTCACACGGATTGGTAGCTCTCAGTCCGGCCTCAGGCCACCAATAAAAAGGTTAAGAACAAAGGTATGATGGTTAAGGTATGAAGAAAGTACTTGTTCATATCTGCCTGGTACAGGTTCCATATCTGACTCAGTGTGTGAGAAAAAACAGTGTGACCACTGCATCTGGCTTAACACCACCCAGTTTTACCCTGTGGATTCCCTCCCCAAAAAAAGATCCTGCTCTGCGATATTACAGGCAGACTTTCACAGATTACTTCCAATCCACCTCCATTTTTTTCTTCTCACTATTTGACTTACAGTAAGTTCTTTTCTTACTCTCTCCTTTCAGCAAATTCGAAAAATTCTTCTAAGGCAGGAGTTCACAAAGGCGTGAATTCTGTGCTGTCTTCTTGGTCTCCATGTTTCCACTCCATACAGCAGGACAGACTTCACATTAGATGTAAACATTTGAAGCTTAGTTCTCATCAGGATTGGGCAATAGACAGAAAAATTGATCACAATTAATTATGTCATTTAGCCGATGATGGCGGAGTGTGCGGGCTGTGAGTCTTTCTGTGAGATTCACTGTTTGAGTCCTAATCAAACAATATTAATGCCAACATAGAAACAATTGTTTGCCCCGTAAAGCCAAGCTGACTCTCCATTTAACTACAGCAGTTGACCGCCTTGAGGGGTATGTGTAGTCTGAAAGATATTTATTGTCTTGGACAATTCTGGTTCAAACAAAAAACTAGATTATTATCATTTTTTACCTTAATGGACAGTGATTTAAAAAAAAGCGCATGCAAATCTGTGTTGTTAAATGCAACGGGGTTGAAAATTTGGGTACACCTAACTTTTGTGCAGGTGCACCTAAGAAAAAGTTAGTTCCAACGGTGTAATAAGTGAAAAAGTTATTCTAGACCTGTACAAGTATAGCACACAGACCGACTTTCATGCGGGTGGAGACCATCAGTTAGAAAATGCATTCTGTGAGGTGTTTTTTTTAAAACATCTATGACTTCTGACCTCTAACAACCACAAAAAAATAAATAAATAAATAAAATAAACCTGTCCTAAACTAATTCGGTCTATTTAGGATGCTTACATAAAGATCAAACTGTAGTTAGTCCAGAGTAGGGCTGCCACGATTAATCGACGACTAATCGATTATTAAAATAATCGTTTGTGGCAGCCCTAGTCCAGAGTGATCATTATTCTGGTTCTGTTCTGATTCATTGCTAAAAATTAACATTTCCTTCAGAAAAATTATCTGAAACGTTCTTTAATGATGAGACCCGGTTAATGGATGTGTTGAGGGGTATTGTATAACCACAGACAAAGATAAAATTAAATAAAAATCAATCTCATTTTACACAACTGCTTCAAATATACCGTCAGCGTCAACAATAGACACGAAATTGCCTTACAATCCTTAGCTTCTTAGAATAAGTAGTTATTGAAAAGTAGACTAATTGTCAGCCTGCCGACTTGAATAACTTTCCTTAGCAAAACTAAATCCTGGAGATTTGCGTTTGCGTTGCATACTTATTATTGTTCTTGCAGCAAACAGTGTTATTTTGCACACTCACTGTACTTGAACAGAATAAACCCGTAAATTACACAGAAGCAGCACAACCAGCCGCCTACCGGTGTGTTGGAGCCCCCGTGCCCGGCTCTGAGGAGCTGTCCTGCCGCCGTCACTGAGAACCGAGACCGGACTAAACCGGACCGACAAGATGACAGAGCAGACGGGAAAAGCCTTAACAACTGAGACATGCTCTCTGTGGTCCCGGTCCAGTTTATGAGAGAAAAACACCAGCTTTTACTTTATTTAACTTGGCTTTTTCGCCCAAGTTTGTCACATAATACAGCAAAGGCATGAATGTCAACCGTACGAAGGACCAGTGTGTGACTGTCCCTTTCAGCACCTGGAAAAATCGGGGGGAAAAATATAATCCGTAATTTAAAATTATAATACATGTTCTAAAATGGACTTATGTTACAACAAATCGCATATTTTAAAAGTAGCACAAATTAAACTAAATATTTGAGGTAAACGTTTATTTATTACAATCAGGCAACACGCAGGCCACCAAAAGATCCTCGCAGTGCTCATATAAGCTCTTACATCTGATTGGCTGAGATGTTGCGAGTTACACATGCGCAGAAAATGAGTTGTGCTGGCTGTTTTTTTTTTTTAATTAAACATTTTCAACAAATATACAAAATCGTTTGGCATGTTAAAACAAGATGTCAAGTTGTACATATTTTTGGCACACAGACATATGAAATGAAAGAAAATAAAATGTGTTAGACATTAAACAAGGGACAAAAATAAATGATTAATTAAATAAAAAAACACACAAAACACAAAGGGGCACTAATTCTCATCACATAAGTTCAGATCTATATAGGCGTCAAAGAGTTGTACACTATGTTTGCTTTTCATTAGTTTTAAGGTTCTCAGGTGGTTCTCCATTAGAAGGCTTTTAAACGCTGAAAAGTCAGGTTTTCTATTTCCCCATTTACATGAATGGATGAAGAATTTGGCAAGGATCAGCAGGTTGTTAAGAATGAGGTCATTTCTTCTGTCTCTGAGGGCGAGTCCAAAGATTATATCCTCTCTTTTTAAGCGATGAGGTAGGAAAAGTTTTGTTGAGATCCAGTCCTGAAAGTTTTCCCAGAATATTCCAGTGTGCATACAATACAAAAAGAGATGGTCTGTTGTCCTGATGCATCTCAGTAATCCAGGTAAAAAAATCAAAAAGAAAAAAAATTTGTATAGGTCTTCTGGATGGGTTCTTCTCTAATGGAACGTTTCATCTCTTCTCCAAGAGACTTCTTCAGTCTGAGAGTTTCAGGCAAAATTCAGGCTTTTAAGCCCTGCCTCCATATGACTGATACTCACATCACATGGCTATCGTTGAC